GTAAATAAATAAGCCACCCGACTAAAAAGACATATATTACTCATCTAAGAAAAAGCCAACCAAAGAAAAAGGGAAAGGAAAGAAAAAACTTCAATGCAAGTACTCGTCCAGAAAGTTACACTTCAAGAAAGCTAGCACAAACTGGTTTGAACACTAGACTTCATAAGGGTGTATACTGTAATAGCAAACCCTGCACGGTAGCTCCATTCTCTCCATTTCCTCCTTGACGAGGTTGTAGATCAGAATCGTATTCTCACCCAAATCGGCACAGAGTACCAACACCTCCAAGTACTTAACCCACCCGACTGGAATTACGGAGACATCCTTACTTCTAGATTCGAATCGTCTCCTGTGTGCCTCTAATGAAAAATCGCCTGTCATTCTCCATGCAAACGTTCGCGGATCCATCTCCCAAACTTCCCAATACAGCTCCCCACACTCACGCAATAAGGATAAACACTTTCCAGTCGACAAGTAAGTATTCTTCTTAACTTCCCCCCTCTGGCCAATAGAGTAACCGGGCCCAAGGTTCTCTGTGAACCCTCCGTCTCCAACTTCATAGTCAATAACCTGTCGTCATGCATGACCCAATGCATAAACCCATCAGCAATCAAAACCGGTTTATACTTAAAAACCCGAGGCTCGGCCTGCACGACTCTCCACGACTCATCATCATCTCCAATGGTTAACACATGAAACTCGTCCACCTTTACGCTTGTATATGGATCGGGAGGAATGTAGACAACCACTTTCAAATCCATGGAGTCCCGAGCGCGTGCTACTCCCCATGAATACATAGGTGTCGCCTTAGAACGTGTGACGAGTGAAGGGAGATTAAGAACTGCCTCGGTCGAGTGATGTGAGAGGATGAGCTTAGTGAAGTCCCCTCCTGCAGCAAACGCTAAACAGAGTTCCGAACAATCTGTCACGGCCACGCTCGCGTTTTGTTGCCTCAACTTGGTTGTCTCGATCCAGCTGTCGCGGGTGCCCATCAAAAACACGGCCCGGTATTTCTTGAAGAGAAAGGCGTAAGTGTTGTGGCTATGGGTCACATGGTACCACCTGCGGCAAACAAGCCTAGCAGCCTTGCATATATCGTGGACCGGGACACGGTCAAAAATGTTTGACAACAAGTCATCTGATAGAGTCCCATTGATGTCTTTTTCACCATTCATCTGATCTTCTGGTCGGAGGATTCCCTGCTTCTGCTTCTTCTCAGGTGGCGGCCGCTGGTGGGAACGGCGTCGGCGGCGGCTGGGCTCGGGTTCATGCGGCGGGGACATGTTCCGTCTTAATTTGGTCGTGCTGCCAATTTTTCTCCTCCAATATTATTTGATTGAAATCGA